CCAATATATCGAATTTCAATGGACGCAATATTGATGACTGTTATAACATTTTCTTGAACCTTTACGAGGCTGCATGCAAAACTTATATACCAGTGACTAATTCAAAATGGATTCGTTGAAGTAGCAAATGTATAAATGATGACATCAAAATTAAAATAAAAGCTAAAAAGAAACGTTTCTATGGTTTCGATGTATAGCGCGTGGATGTAAAAATCTTTAACTAGTCAACGAATACAAAGCTTGTGATATTAAATTGAAAAAGCTCATTTATCAAGTTTGCCGTTAGTTTGAACTTGATTTAGCGATAAAATCGAAGCACAACCCAAAGATCCTGTTCAAGTATGTTAATAGCAAACAAAATGTTAGAATTACAATAACAGCTTTCAAAAGGAATCAATGGCAACATTATTACAAATCCAATAGAAATTGTAAATCGGCTGAACGACCACTTTCAAAGTGTTTTCAACAAAAACAAAGACGATAAACTGCCATTTTTTATTAAACGAACTGAAGCCATCTGCAAATACTCGCAAAATAACTCAAAATCTGGTTAAAAACAAGCTAAGCGATTTATTAGTTGATAAAACCGTTGGTGTGGATGATGTAAGCGCATATGTACTGAAGAACTGTTCTGACAACTTCTTAATACCTTTAGGCAAAATTTTTCAGAAGTCAAAATATGGAAAAAGGCTAATGTAACACCACTGTTCAAAAAAGGAAGTAGACTCAATCTAGGCCTATATCCTTAACACCAATTGTATGTAAAGTGATGGCGAAAATATTACGTGACACTATGTTCAATCATTTTGTCGAACATAGCCTTATTTCATTAAATCAACATGGTTTCGTCAATAAAAAAGCGTGTGTGACTAATTTGTTGGAGTCGATTAACGTGATGTCAAAAGCATTATCTGACAAGGTGTCTATGGACGTAGCATTTATAGATTTCAGTAAAGCGTTCGATATGGTTCCCCAGAGACTAGTTTACAAACTCGAGGCATACAGTTTTACTGGAAATTTCATTAATCGGTTTTAACAAACTGTGATGGGCGATTATGTACCTTTATGGCTTGAGGTGTTTAGTGGTGCTCCTCAAGGATCCGTCTTAGGTCCAACACTTTTTATCATTTTCGTGAACGATACATCTAATATAGTTAACCATCCGTATAAAATTTATGCTGATGACACAAAACTGCTGGCCAGTTTAGACCATAAACAAAGTCGCCATTTTGTTCATTTATTCCTTATACAAAAGTCATACACTGAAACCACACTCTGTATTTATAGGGTTCCTAATCTAATTAAAATTAATTTTTTCTAATCATTAAAAATATTTTTGAGAAAACTAAAAATTTTCAAATGGCGATGAACAGAATAAATCTGTTTATCTTCATGCAGCACGAACTCGCCAGCCACAGATAAAAAATAGGAAACATTTAGTTAAAACTAGATTGAAATCAGGTTTAATTCAACTAAATCAGTAATGTAATACAGCGAGTCATAAGTTTGAACTTTTTAAGAGATGAAAATCATACCTATATATATATATATATATATATATATATATATATATATATATATATATATATATATATATATATATATATATATATATATATATATATATATATATATATATATATATATATATATATATATATATATATATATATATATATATATATATATATACTTTTTTTTTTTTCTTATTACAATATACTATGGTATAAATATTGTTGTACATTAAATATCAGAACACGGAGACTCAAAGGGAATCGTAAGATTCTGTCACTGAGAACCGTTTAACATTGCAGTAAAAATATAACCAGTCAAATAATTACACTAAATGACGTTTAGAAATAAAATTTAAATCTAACCAGATATTTCAAAACATAAAATAATGTTTATCAACATAAAGAATTTATATAAAACAAAATATTTCAAAATAAAACAATATATTCAGGAATCACACACTTTTTTTAAAAGTATAAACTCAAAAGAACTCAAAGATATTATCAATTGATAAGATAACTATTTTCAGCTTAATTTTGAAAGTAAGAAAACTCCAACTTTGAGAAAAATCAAAATTTTTCAAAACTATTTTGTTCACACAAAAGAGCTCCGCGATATGTTAAAATAGATCTTCCAAAACTTGTATGAGAATAATGTTGATGAATAAGGTTGTCATATTTGTTTTTTTTGTTTTATTGCATATAAATTTTGAAAGGATATACGGGTTAGGTTTATCTTACCTTTGTACATAAATAAAAGAACATTAAAAACATTTTGCTGGTATATATTAAGAACATTCATTTCCAATAAAAGAGGTCTGGCATGAGTATAATGATCTTTAAAATTTATTAAACGTGCTATATGCTTCTGTTTCCGATATAAAGGATCTAATAGAATTTTTTTAGCACTACCCAATGCGATATTTGCATAGTTTATATGGCATTGAACTAGCGAGTGATAAAGTTGAATTAATGAATGTCTATTAACAAAATTTCTTGCTTTACACATTACTCAAATATTTTTTGAAACTTTATTGCGCAAAATTTCGATATGGTTTTTCCATGTTAGATTTTCATCAATGAAAACACCAAGGAAATGTATAATTTTTGATTTTTTTATTTGAACATTGTCAATATATATTTGTGGCATATCATTTGATAAAAGTTTTTTTTGGGATTTTGAATGAAATAAAGTCCATTTAGTTTTTTCCAAGTTAATTGATAGTTTATTTGACTTAATCCAATTTGAAATTTTAATTAGTTCTATGTTAATTTCATTAAATAGTGTAATTATATTTTTACCGTATAGAAAAAGATTTGTATCATGAGCAAACATTACTGTCGTAAAATTTGAGGCATTGTGCAGATCATTAACATAAATGAGAAAAAGTAGTGGCCCTAGTATAGACACTTGGGGAACACCACATGTTATATCTAGTAAACTTGTTGAGGAGGATACGTCAATTTGCACAAACTGTTTACGATTGCTTAGATAGCTTTTTAGCAAATTTAATAAATTTCCGCTGATTCCATAGTTTTTAAGTTTTTGTATAAGAATCTCGTGATCTATCGTATCAAAGGCTTTTGATAGATTAATGAAAACTCCAAGAATAAATTGTGATTTCTCAAAAGAATCTGCAATATTTCTACACCTTTTCAAGATGTAATTGAGAAAACAAAAATTGTAATTAAGAATCGTAAGATGTAATTGAGAAAACAAAAGTTGTAATTAAGAAACGTAAGATGTAATTGAGAAAACGTAAGTTGTAATTAAGAAACATAAGATGTAATTTAGAAAACGAAAATTGTAATTAAGAATCGTAACATGTAATTGAGAAAATGTAAGTTGTAATTAAGAAATAGAAAGATGTAATTGAGAACACGAAAGTTTTAATTTAGATATCGCTTTAAAGGAGTAAGTGTAAAATGGCGCTTAAAAAAAATGGCGCGTAAAAAAATGGAGCGTATAAAATTACGCACTTAAAAATGACGCAAGATTTGTAGCGTAAATTTAATTTTTTAGGGAAAAATTTAGGGAAAATTTTATAATTTTTGGGCAAATGAATTTAACATAATAAACACTAAAAACATTTTAGGGAAAAATTTATAATTTTTGGGCAAATGAATTTAACGTAATAAACACTAAAAACAATAAATATGCGGTATGTAATCTGAGGGCCATGGCGGGATTTGTCCGGGGAAGGATGACCACGCGCTGTGACTGTGAATTTGCTATTTTAGACTGTGAATTTGCTATTTTAATTTATGTGTTCTCAATTACAAGATACGATTTCTCAATTACATATTATGATTTCTCAAATATATCTTACGTTTTCTCAATTACATGTTGTGTTTCTTAATTACATGTTACGACTTCTTATTTACATGTTGTGTTTCTTAATTACATATAACGTTTTCTCAATTACATGTTGTGTTTCTTAATTATATATTACGATTTCTTAATTACAACTTTCATGCTCTCATTTACATCTTGAAAAGGTGTAGTTACATGAAGTATGGCGTGTTCCGTGGAATTATTTTTTTTGAATCCATATTGACTGGCATTTAATATTTTATTTTAAGAAAGATGTTCATATATTTTGTTGTAAAGATTCCTTTCAAAAACCTTTGATAAGCCAGAGAGTACAGATATTGGTTGATAATTAGTTATATTTGATAATTCACCACCTTTATATATGGTGTAATTTTAGCGATCTTTAGTTACACCTATATGCTGTTCTAATACGGTTAAGATAAGTTAATAAGTAAGACTTAAGACAATGATCGAAATTTTGATAATGGTAAAGAGAAAATAAAAAGTCAAAATGTTTGTAAGAGTTTAGAAAGAATTTTTTCCCAGACATCTTAGTCAGATGTCTGGGAAAAAATTCAAGATTATAAAGGTGAGTCAAGTAATTATATTTTAACTAATGTCTGCTAAAACATTTTTCTCAAGCTTTTCTCAAGAAATAAGGGATTGCCATTAATTAAGACCATTGATTACGTCCATTAATTATATTTAACTTTAATTTGATAATTTAAGAAGTCGTATGACAGTGGATTTTTTGCTGTTGCATTTGGCTTTACGTGGGCTTTAAGAATAGATAGTTTTTATTGCCGGGAAGATACAAAATTAGTGGTCCTATCCTACAAACTTAGGGCGCAATTTTTCCAATCCTACAAGTTTATTATCCAATTGTTTTCCGAAGAAAATTACAAAACAAATGTGGATGATAACCGCAGATTACAACAGTCATGTAAATTTGATATATTATTTTTAATGTAATGTATTTTTAAATACGTTACATTAAAAATAATATGTTATATATTTTTCATTCAAGTTGTTTTTTTATTTTTATCAGTTATTTTTTATAATTAAGCATGACACGTCACGCTCCAAGGCCAATTGGAGCTAGTATATGCAAAATAAAAGAACTCATTTGTTTGTGTGTTTCAGTGGCTAAAACAAGCGCATTTAAAAGTCAATGATTAATAGATATTATATTTAGTCTATTTTATATTTATAAATTCTATAAACCATCACAACATCAAAAATTACTAGGTTAGTTTTCAAAAATGTATAAAACTTAATCACAATAATAAATAATATAAAATAATTATTTATACAATTAAAAAATCCTTTTTAAAAAGTAAATTTAATTATATACTTTTTATAACAACCGATTTCTTCCGGATCACGATCTCATGAAAATTCTAACTATAAAACTTCTGACCAAAACCTATTCCACGGTGACAGACTTTGCTAAATTGCGTGGACAATCAACCTAAAATTTAATAAAATATTCAAAAAATGAGGGGATATTTCTAAATAAAAAAATACACAAATAAAGTTAAAAACCAAAATAAAATAATAGTAAACATACGTCATAACCACGTAAAACGGCAAGGTGAAAAGATAGCAATTGCAAAGGGATAACTGTAAGGATACCAGATAAACAATCTGGCACTTGCGGTATTTCTAAACTGTTATAACCTAGCTTACTTGTTTCATTATCGTCCTTTGAACAAATAATAATTGGACGCCCTTTCCTTGCGAGAACTTGTTGCAGGGCATTCATGCATTTCTTAAGTACAAAATATTAGTTATACATTAAAGAAAAAACATAAAACAAAGAAAAAAACTAAAACCAAGAGAGAAAAAAATTACATCATGAGTTTTGTCTTTAAGAGCAATCATAATCACAGGCATATCTTTATCAACAAGAGCTAACGGTCCATGTTTTAATTCCCCAGCAAGAATGCCTTCGGAATGCATATAGGTAATTTCTTTAATTTTCTGTAAGAAATATATATATATATATATATATATATATATATATATATATATATATATATATATATATATATATATATATATATATATATATATATATATATATATATAATACATAAAATAAAAGACAAAGAATATTAAATTAAGAAAACTAAAGAATGTTTAAAAGTACCAACGCTCCTTCCAAACAAGTAGCAAATTGATAGCCTCTACCCATGACTAACAGACTTTTTTCATCTTTGATAGTCTTGGCAATTTCCTCTATTTTATTATCAAGTTTGAGTACTTCCGAAATATACTCTAAACAATAGAAAACATAAATTCTAATGTAATCTTAGTAGTTTTAAATACTGCTTCGAAAGTACCATTACACCAAAAAGTACCTGGAAAGACTTTTAAAGCTTGAATTATTTCTTTAATACGGTCCTGCTTTGATATTCTGTCCTCAGCCATCATAATGGCAAACAAAACAAGGGCCAAAAATTGACTAGTATAAGCTTTAGTGCTAGCAACCCCTATCTCTGGACCAGCATTGATGTGGACACCACACATAGTTTCACGTGATATACTACTTCCAACTGTATTGGTTATACCAACAACTAACGCACCACGACTTTTACAGTAATGAAGTGCCATAAGTGTATCTGCAGTTTCACCTACAAGAACAACAATAAAATGGTTAAGTCCATTTATTATTACTATTTAAGAATATAAATACAACAATAGAATCAGATGAAACTCCAAGGAAATAGATATATTGTCCAACACAAAAAATCTTATAATGGAACATTTTCATAAAGATAACATAAAGATCAACTTTTTAATGCTACTTTTTTCTTTTCTTCTATCTATTTATACACCCATTTGATGCTCAAAAATTGTTACATCCAAGTTCTTTTGCAAAAGACAAAATTTGACTCTGAAAATTGATTTCAAACACAAGAATATTATGATGGCGAGCCACATATTTAAAAGCCACATATAAGAAATAGTTTTAGCTAACCCAATAAGACCTAATAGTACTGTAACAGAGCACCACAAAAGAGCATTTAATTAGGAAGTTCATATTGTCAGAAAACCAGGATAAAAGGATAGACTAAAATTAAGTAATATAAATCTGTCCACCTTAGTAAATACCAGACTAAAGGTTTGATTTTGGATGATTCTGCTATATTTAAAATTTATATGACCATATTTTTTTTTTATATTTAGCTAAAAAACAATTTTTAAATTCTTACCTGACTGACTTATGAAAAAGCAAACATCATCTCGAAATATTGGTGTATTTCTATCAAGGAAATCACTTGCTAACTCAACCATAACTGGTAATTCTGTCAGCTCTTCCATTAACTGACGAGTCTGAATAATTATTATGAAAAAATATTATACATTAAAAATGTGGTCATTTGTTACAATATGAAAATGAACAAAACTCAGTTAAAAATTATAATCAAAAGAAAAAAGATCATACAGCAACAGCACTATGATAACTTGTTCCACATGCAATGAATATGAGTCGTCTGCATCTTTTAATGTAATCCATGTGTGATACCAATCCACCAAGTAAAACTGTATTGTCTTGAAAGTTAACTCGTCCTCTCATTGTGTTGTAAACACTTTCTGGTTGTTCCATTATTTCCTTTTGCATAAAAGATGAATAACTACCTAAAAAAATTAGGCATTATTTAAACATATTGACAAGCTGTTTGTATGAAAATAAAGCAGATAATATTAGCATTAAAAACCAAATAAATTTTTTTTATAAACAAAAACTAATGTTTAATAATGTTTATGAATAAATTTTAAATCAATAAACTCAAAAATGTTAAGAACACGCAACTAGAAATGAAAAATTACGAAAAAAAAATTAATTAGCACTCTGTAAACCTAAATCTGCAGTTACCTTTCATTATTTCTTGGATCTCTAGTTGTAATGTTTGAACATCTCTTGTTAGGGAAGTTTTATTGTTCATACGTGCAATTTGTAAATCTAAAATTTTAGAAAAATAAAAAAAATTAAGCTCCAAAATTAGATTAGGATAAGGTTCCATGCTCTGAGCCCTTTAATATAATTTCCAATTCCTTAAATGAAATGAAATGAGTTATAAATGGTCCCTTATTAAAAAAAATTTTAAATATCCATTACTTCCATCTTTCACCCAAGCCAAATCTTCATCTTCCAAAAAAATAACTCTTTTCGTATGTTCTATTATTGCACTAGAATAAATAAAAACAATCAAAAAATAATAATAATACTAATACTTGAAGGCTAATAATAATATAAACAAAAAATACAACTATAAATAAAAATGGAAATATAAATAAAATACTATTTATACCTTGCATCCGATGCAAAAAAATACTCCATAGCTGCATTTTCAGCAATAAGAAAGTGCTCACCTTCTGGGTAAGAGTTAACTGAAGTGTCATCACCAACAAAACCTAAATAATTTTGATTTGTAAGATTTTTGTAACTCTTCATACAATAGATTAAACTCTATATACTATATTAGATTATACCATTTTACTCACCATTACACTGTCGTTCAGCATTAGCTTTTTCACCATTTAACTGACGTGTTGACAAGACAGGAATTTGATCGACTGTTATTGGTTTATCACTTTTCACACCAATAAGAAGTGGGCTTCCACGACGAGTTGCAATGCATTGGTTTGGGAAGTTGCTGCTTTTAAAAACAAGAGCATATGCTCCTTCCTACATATAATTATTCAGATTAATATTTAAATAACAACAATAACTGTTAAAAATATTACTATACAAAATAACAGTACTATCAGTTTGATTTAACAAAAAAACTAAATAACAAATACCAGTTGGCGTACAGTCCTCTCCACAAGTTCAGGAAAGCTAAGTTTTATTGGTTTATCTGATTCCTGATCACGATCATATATATATTTTAACAGCTTCGCAATAACTTCTGTATCAGTTTGAGATTCAAGAGTGTAACCTTTTTTAGCCTGAATTAAAAGATACTATTTATTATATTTTACCCTTCAAAAATGTCGATAAACAGCTCTCTGTATATATCTTCCATAACAGATATAGATAACAATTTTGTAACATTTTTTGCTAAGCGAATACCCTGCAGGGTTTTTTTGGTAAAGAAGAAATAAACAAAGAATAATAAAGAAAAAGACTGATGTTCTTCTCAAACTTTTAGTCAAGTGCAGCTGCACTCCCTTGCATGCTCTACTTATATAGTCAAAATGCTTAACTAATTAAACATGCAATTTAAAAAAATAATTATATATAAAAAAATTCATTTTATATAGTATTTTTTAGGTGATTATATATATATATATATATATATATATATATATATATATATATATATATATATATATATATATATATATATATATATATATATATATATATATATATATATATATATATAGTAAAAAGCATACTCTCACCAAATATTGGCTGATATCTTTATAATTAGTAATAATTCCGTTGTGAACTAGAACAAATTCTAAATGCAATAATAAATAACTATACTACATTTTAACAACTTTTATATACTTTTTTATGTTTATATGTGTACATTCATTTACTATAATATTATTTATTTTTTATAAGTAATAAAAAAATTTTGTTTTAAATTTGATATACATTTTTTTTATTATTCATTATATATTGTTAAATTTTTTACTTCTTACCATTATTAGGGTCAGATCGATGAGGATGAGCATTAAGAGGACTTGGAACGCCATGTGTTGCCCATCGAGTGTGAGATATACCCAGATGGGTCGAAAACTCCTTTTCAAATTGGAAATTTTCACTCCCTAAAGTGTATGTTTGCTTTTCAAGCTATTAATTCAAACTTTTTCACAAAAATTTATAAATGTATAACACTTTTATCTTAATAAAATAGTTATGCCTGAACATTGAATAGTTTATGCACTATTTTTGCCAATTTTAAAAAAAAAATTGTAGTTTTTTTAAAATATATATTTTAATTTTTGTATACTCATTATCATGAAGGTTGTATACCTATCTCATCAGCAAGATTTTGAACTTTGCCCTTGGTTTTAATTATTCTAAACATATACAAATGATACAAAATATGTAAATCTGAATACATTAATAATTTGCAATTAAAACCACCTAATATATTATAAAAACTTACGAAACTTTACAGCTTGTGGTTTGATCAGAGTCTACTGCTAAACCTAATATAAATATTAATATTGTTAAAATATTGCTAAAACTAACATTTAAGCCTTAGTTTAAAAATTATTTAGAATTTATATTCTGTAAAATTAAAGACAAGGTAAATTAAAACAATGTAACATAACTATAAAACAATTGAACATAAACAGAATGCAATTTATGAAGAAGATAACATAAGATATTTAAAAAAATGTAACTTAACCTGCTGAATCATATCCTCTATATTCAAGTCGGTGAAGTCCATTTACTAATGTATCTAAAATATACTTTCTATTGCGTGGTACACCATAGTTGAGGTAAGCAAATATTCCTTAAATATTATAATAAAAAGAAATCAAATTAATACAGTTTATAGAATTAGAGACTGCTCTTATATTATTTATCTTATTACAATAAAATTGTTGTTTAATATAGTTACAGCAACAAGAAACGACAATGATCATTTTTTTATGTAAATTGAAACCACAACTACGTGAGTTGTCTGGTACAATATTTATAATGCGCATAATTTAAAAAAAATAATGTGATAAATATAATGATTTTATGTGTAAATTCAAATGTATAAGCATTAATGTATACTCAAATCAAGAATAATTTAGAAAATAAGTTCAGTGTTAGACTTACCACACATCTTCAAGATCAAACTATTCTTTACAACGCTGATAACGTTTTAGCTAACTGTCAGTGTGCAGTGTTATATATTTATTCTCACTAAAGGCGTTAAAGCAATTATTAAAAAATTTTAAGTTGTGAAAATACCACGTCAGAAAAACAACAATAAAAATATTAAAAAATCAATAAAAATTCCCAACGGAAACCAAAGTGAAAGTATGACGCATTTCGTAACACGGTAAATAACGTAATCTTAATTTAAAGAGCTGAAAACAAAGTTACAAAAGATATATTCTTATTGTCAATTAAAAACATTTATAACTCCTAAATAATTATTTTACAACTGACAAATTCAAAATTGTAATAAAATTGTTACTTAACTTATAATAGGGTAGAGCGGGGAATATAAAAACACTTTAAAAAAAAAGCAAGTTGCGGATAAACTAATCGTGGTTAACACTGATTTTTATAAATTTACTTAAATTCATTGATATAAGTAAACAAAAAAACAATTTTTAAAAATAAGCTACGACGTCCAAAGTAACGAAACTCTCGACAAGCAAAGTCTTTTCATTTTGCAATGGGTTGGGGTAAAACGGGGCAGTTTAAAAGCAGCACTTGATCGTTAATTTTAAAGGTTTATTATAAAAAAAAATGAAGGCTGACTATCACTTAAAACGTTTTCAGACATTATATTTTTAAAAAACTTACCCAAAGAAACTACACGTCTATACACCAAAAAAAAAGAAAGAAATAATAACTAAAAAAAAAGATATTTTTGTGTTTGATTATAAAATACTCTTAAACAAACAAACTTAAGAAATTGTTCTAAAAATTAAATATGGCAAAACTGGTATATATTAATAAATTGGTAACTACTACTAAATTTAGAATTAAGCAAAAAATATTATGGATCACATAAATCACGCAAAAAATATCCTGAAACTGTTTGGCAAAATTATTTATGAGCTGGCTTATTAACAATATGCCAATGTAGAGCAATTTTAAACATGTCAAATGCAAGGTTTAAAAAAGCGTGAGGCGTATTGAGGCGGTTTTCCTATATATGAGGGGAGGAGTAAGCCTCAATGCGCTCGAGAAAAACTAGTGTTATTACAACTATTGAAAAGTTTGACTGTCGACTAAATCAACTAATAAATTTTGTGTTAGTCGATCAAACTAATATATTAATGTGTTGGTCGATCAAAGTCGATCAAAGTCGATCAAAGTCGACTTAACACTTATTTGAAACCGGACTAAGTCGACTAAAAGTCGATTTAGTCAAAATATGTGAATAAAATATTTGAAACGATTGCAATTTAAATTTTTTATAAAGATTAATCAAGTAATTCTGGGCCGGATACCACAATTTTAGGACTGGGGCTGTAAATATAGGGGGTTTTCTTAAAAATTACCCATCATGAGCGAGAGTATACAAGTGTTTCTGCTAGGCTGAAGATCTTCAGCCACACGGGTATAACCGCGAGTTTGGGGACTAGACAGTTCCTCAAGCAGGGAATAAAAGTCTGTACAATCACGTTTACACTTTAATTATCGCAGAACCCTAATCAACTCGGAACGGCCCTGTATGCATGTTATACGGCTGTACGAACGGTCCTGCATGCATGTATTTTTGAAAATCAAAGGCAAAAATAAAATAAACAAAAAAAAAAAAAACACATTACTAAAAAGTTTTATTAAGTTAAAACGTTTCCTTCTATCCAATGAAGCCTATCCACTTTCTTCAGTGCCCAAAATTTCTCTCGACAGGGCTGCTGCATACCTCATAACATAGTGTTATGATGTATGCAGCAGGTCTGCCGAGAGACTTTTAGGGTACTGAAGAAAGCAGATGGGCTTACTCTTGGATGATACTCGTTAGGTAAAAAGTCATATATTCTGGACCATTAGAGGTGGAACCTTACAATTAAATCTTATTGCTTCAGATGAGGTACGATATTGAAGAAAGAAAATGTTGAAGTAGTAATTTTTGTAAAAAAGGACAGAAAAATAAGATGAAAACAATATTATTTGTACAAACACGGGCCCCAGTATTTGATCCCCGTCTTCCACCTCCTCTTTTTAGGCCTAATTATTTGACAGTTTATTTTTTTAGATGTTATGGTAGAATCGGAAAGTTAAAAACCGTTAACATTACTAACCGTTAACTTATGGGGAAATTAGTTCTAGTTGCCAGACATAGTCATCAAAAGGCATAAATGAAATTACTTTCTGTAAATCACAACTTGCTTAAAGTTATATAAAGTTACCGTAAGTTACTCTCAAGAGACCACAGAAACCGGTAACAAGCAACTTTTTATTTAAATTACTGAAATAGTCGAACCCCTAATATAACTTTAAGAGAGTAAACATAAACTCATTGCTAGCTCATAGTACAACTTCTACGTCATTATGGGACCTACGCTATGGTAAAGTTTTGGACTTTATATTATTACTTGATTAAAGGAGCTCCAATTATGTTCACATTCAGAAGCACTACAGGTCAAGCTCAATTCTAATAGCAAACTTTGCTAGTTCAGGCGTTTGATCTCCAAAAGCTCTCCACCAATCCGCTGAAAATAGTAATGTTGTTTTATTAAATTGATAGAAAAAAAATCGTTGAATTGTGATCCCATATTGGGTCCGTCCTCTGGTTTATCAAAAAATAAAGTTAAAGAAATTATTACGAACATACTAAAAATAGTAAAAACACACACCTGGACATCTCTTCTTTCTCGTGTTTACTGCATTTACCCGTCCAAATAAATCGTAATTACTAACAATGGCGACGCCAGCATTTTTTGGTCATTAATATAGCTAATTTCCAGACATGGAGCAAACTGCAAACATTTATAAGTTTATACTTATGTAAAATAAGGATGCTTTTCAAAAAATTACGATGATTGGAGCTTGGGAACAAAAAAACCCCAAAAATTTGGCCGACACTGCCCCAAACGTGAGAGCAACAAGTTTATGAAATAAATTTTGTACTATTATCAACTAGACTTATATTTATTGATAAATTTTAAGTTTCATAGTATAATCTCTCAGCGTTCAAAAACTATGACCATATAAAGTTTAAACCCCCTTCAGCTTGAGGGTTTTGCAAATTCATTGTAATTATTTGCAAAGCATCCTTATTTTACATAAGTATAAACTTAAAAAAAATCTCAAAGAGCAAAAAAATGCTGGCGCCGCCACTGATTACTAATTCTAAACACATTCCTAGAACTAAAAAATACGTTAGAAGCAAACTGTAATTTTAAAAAATGTTGTTGGAGCAAGGCTAAAAGTTGTTGAAGCAAAGCTAAAAGCTACTCAATGCAACTGAGGCCTGGTACACGTTTTTCCGAACAAAAATATAAGTTTTTCAATTACAATATATGTAAGTTTTTTCTTCAAAAAGTATGACATATTTGGTATGTATGGAAAGATTATTTTAACAGCTATTATAATCTGATAAAAGTAATGCGACTATAACAAATCGTCAAACGTAGTTTTATTTAGAAACAATTTTATTTAGATACAATTTTTAACATAAAGTACCTTGGGGCTTGGCTATAGATAAGTCTATGAATTTGATTTTTTCATTAAAGCACGTATTGGTGTTTGTTTTCAATAAATGTAACTTGACACCTAAATGAGTATGTTTAACAATAATGTCACGTTAGATTTAGATAACCTATGGTAGTGTTAATTTTTCTACCAAGGTCGTTTTTGCATAAATAATCGTAACTTTTAGCCCCATTTAAATAAATTGTTTTCGGTATTTAGTATCTTTTTTTGAAATACTCAGGACTTATTCGGCCATCTTGAAATGATAAATTATTGCGTAAACAATTAAAAACAGAGGCGGTAAACTTTATAAACAAATTATTTTCAATTCGAATTCTTTGTTTGCATAAATTAAATACCAATAAATAAAAAGTTTTTCGGTTTCCCACTAACAACTAATCGGATTTGTTTTAAATTATCGGCTTTTTTTTACGAGTTAGTTTATTCTATTGCTTAGTTGCATTGAGTAGTGTCAAAGGCCGAAGCGGAGCTCGATGCAATACGATGAGCTACGAGCGAAACTTAAAGTTTAAAAGATTTTACCGGTATCGCGGTTAAATTGTTTCAGTTTCACCCCAATACCTAGCAATATTATTATTTTATGATGATAAGTTATTTTTTGAATCTTTGCTAAATTTGCTTTTTGATTAGATAATTCAATTAGCTCAAACTACAATGCCTTTGTTGATTATTATGTTTTCTTTGCATACAAATAGGCAAATTTGCTGTCAATTCTTTTACAAATAATTAACGCAGCCGTGGCGGAGTGGTCCTAGGTTCGACACCGGTTCTAGTCTGGTAAGCAACATTCGTAAGGAAACTTTCTAATTAAATATTCTTTTCCGGTGCTCTGTAATAAACCGTAACAACTTTTGGGAGCACCTTAATAACTATACACACAAACAAATTAAAAGTAGCCGTGGCGCAGTGGTAGCGCACTTGCCTCAGGAACGTAAGATCCGCGGCTCAAACCCACCTCTGGGCAAGTTTTGCGACATCGGTTAGGAAGGAGGCGTGAACTTCCTATTAAATGCTCTTCCGCGGTGCTCTGTGATAAGACCGTAAGGACTTCTTGAGGCACCTAAATCAACATAAAAAAAAAAAATCAACATTAAAAAAAAAAAAAAAAAATTAATGATTTTTAACGCAAAAAACGTTAATTTTGATGAATATTTTAATATTAGACATTTTTTTTCTTTTTTTTTTTTGTTCTTATTACAATATACTATGGTATAAATATCGTTGTACATTAAATATCAGAACACGGAGACTCAAAGAGGATTGTAAGATCCTGTCACTGAGAACCGTTTAACAATGCAGTAAAAATATAATCAGTTAAATAATTACAATAAATGACGTTTAGAAATAAAATTTAAATCTAACCAGATATTTCAAAACATAAAATAACGTTTAACAACATAAAGAATTTATATAAAACTAAATATTTCAAATAAAACAACATATTCAGGAATCACACACTTTTTAAAAAGGTATAAACTCAAAATTTTAAAAGTAAGAAAACTCCAACTTTGAGAAAAATCAAAATAGGCAAATTTGCTGTCAATTCTTTTACAAATAATTAACGCAGCCGTGGCGGAGTGGTCCTAGGTTCGACAC